CAAAGTAGCCATAAATAGTAAACAAAAATGATCATGTTGATGATTCAGTATCTTTGGGATATTCTAGCTTAATCCTGTTCTGCTTAATTTCTGGGCATAGACTACCCCAAGACAGAATAACCTTTTTGTAGACCTCAACATTTACTATTTTAACTGTGTATTTAGAAAGGAAGAAGAGCACATGGGTTAGTTTAGATAGGGGAAAGGCTACATGTCAAACAACATGGCAGCCTAGATTTGTTTAGTATTTCCTCACTTGAAATGATACCAAAGTGCTAAATGATAACTTAATTTTTTAAAGATAGCTGAAATAGATCCAATGTTTGACTTGTACCATGTTTCATTCCAGGTGTGTGTAGCGTCCTCTGTTCTGACCAATGGTTTCACAAGTGCTTAAAACATGAATTTTCTAGGGTATTTTTTTGAAGTAGAAGCTACCTCTGTTAGTCAACATGTTCTGTCTAGAACTAAAACTTCATTGTGCCTGTATCGACATGTCAGTACAAGAAGAAGGTTGTAAAGGGCTGAAAGTTTTTTCAACATGCTAAAACTGCTTGTATTAAAGTTCACTAGGTAAAACCTGAATTAGAAAATACACAGTTACTGCTAGGAGATCTCAGTGGGTACAAGGTAACTGTGTGGTCTGTCTGCTTTTACATTTGTTCAGCAGTAAATGTCTTCTGGCAGCAGTTTCTTCAGGACTTGAAAGAACCTGCATTCTTGTTTCAAAGCACTCTACCTCTACAGAAGAGAATGCTGTGAAAAGCTTTCCGCAGGAGCTACATCTTGCGTGTTCCAGCTATGTCTGAAACCAAGCTCATGCTTATCCACCCAAAGAACAGGTTGTACCGAGATACCGCTTCCAGCCACTTACAACCAGGATGTGAGATGTGAGAAGCCGCCGTTCTTACTGGCAGTTTGACGGGGAGCAAACTGGAACAGGGAGATGGCTGGTGATGCAGCTTGACTGCAGCACAGAAGTGGGTCCTTTACTATTAAAAAAAGAAACTTGTAATCATGTCAGGTATCAAAGCAGACCTCTGCCAATAGCCATGCTTGTGAAGTCCTCTGATTTGGTGGGCTCAGCATGTGGCTTTCAGTCTCTGCCCCACATCACTGGAACTGGGAAGCTGCTGTGTATGAATCTGGGAAATTAGCTTGCAGGCAATTAGCTCAATTTGGACTTTATTCTCAAGCGCAGCTGTAAGCTAAGAATAATAATCAAACTTGTTTAAAAAAAAATTGCAGGATGTAATGCTTTGGCGAGATCTTAATTTAAGTCTGCTCTAATGTATTTGGAGAGAGGAGAATGAGATGGGAAATTTGGAGAGCTCTCCCCGCCCTCCCCTGCCATGTGTAAAACAAGAATATCAAGTGTTCTAAAGACTTCTAGTAAGAAATACTGAACATACTAGAGTGTTTAATGCTATAATGTAAGCAAAAGGGCTCAACCTGCAGATAACTGCTGCTTTGAACTGTGTTCAGAGGGGTACACGGTACAGATGTGCCTTGCACTTAATATTCTCAGCCTGCAGACGGACAAAACTACCTGCATTTCATCTTAGCTGTACTTTTGCATTTCCATGAGAGCTGGCATTCCATGGAAGATACAAACCATGCTGTGGTTTTCTAGTCAAAAATCAGCTTTAGAAAGGTACGTCTAACCCGGCACTGCATTGTGTGTGCCCCGCTTCTGCTGAGCTCTTCTGTGCATCCAGCTTGCTGTACATTCTTGATGTTGGTACTGTGTACACTTAGGTACTATGCAATATTGTTATACAAAGACTAACCACTGTAAGGAAAATGCAGAATCCCTAGAAAGGGGAATGACCTATAGTAAGGTGTAACATAGCTTGAAATACTCTGTGGAGTAAGTTACATTTTGAGTTGATGTCCAATGATCATCTCTTTAAAAATGTTCTAGTGTCCCTCTCGCACATCGGTATCTGCTGATAGCAGGCAGGAGCGGGCTGACTGCTGGTGGGCACTGCATTGGTAGGAGGAATATTTTGGTTCCTCAGCCTTTCACATGGAACAGCTGGTGTAAATCCTCTCTTGTGCCACATCTGTTTGGGATTTGGCAGCTCTGTTGCCATACGAACTATCCAGTTCCAAAGGAGAACTGGGGTTCTGTAGACTGAGCTAACGTGAAGGCTGGCTGAGTAAACTTTTCAAATGCTGTGGGTCCTGCCTGCAGGCCTTACACTGGGCGCTGCTGGCTGATACAACTGGGAGCTCACTGTGATACTGGTGTACGTCCAGGTACTGTCTGCGCTTGGCAGCTGGGTGCTCTGCAGAAATGTGTGTGTCACAGGCTGATGTGTGTTTCTCTGGATCCAGGTTTTGAGCTTCCTGTCTTCAAAAACTTTTTGTCTTTTGTACTTAGCATACATATCTGGATTTTCATGTTTTGCAGTAACTGTGCATGGAAAATTAACTTGCAAATTGTAGTTTGCATGGATTTGGTTATGGCAAGGTCTGCAGCCTCCTCGGGGATGCGATGCAGTGTGAAGGGACTGATTACAACAGCAGGTGCTGACTCAGGACCAGTTCTGTTCCTCCCTTTCCTCTAGTCCTTTCTCTGATCCTCTTCCTGCCACTTTTCCTGTTTTGGATGGCTTTCCTCACTTCTCTGGGCCCTAGTTGAAGAGCCCAGCCAGTGTAGCCTTGCGTGTGCCTGGTGTCAAGAGGCTTGTGCTAAAAGGAATGATGTGAAAGACTAGTTCTGGGTAGGAAATCAGGTACTCCTAGAAGAGTATTCCAGGAGATGGATTTGTTAAGGATTTTGTGTCCGGGGCTGTCTAGTAATGACCCTGGACAGCTGTAGTTTGACTTAAATATAATTTGGAAACGTGCATGAAGGATCTTAAGTTGGATTTAACCCCTTGCTCCACAAAACCATCTCTTTCTGCTTGTCTGTTAATGGAACTGTTGAAGTGCCACTTGGCAGGTACCGATGCTCCAGCAGCGCACGGGAAGGTGTGTGTGTGTGGCTGGATGGATCAGGCTGTAGCTGTCACACTGAACACGGGCTGGACTGCATGGTGTACAAAGAGAAAGCTGCAGTATCTAAGCTATAATCTAATATTCAGATACTTCACAGAATGAGCTGTTCCAGTAACTAGGATCAATTGCACAAGTCTCAAAGAAAATCAATGTATTTATACTATATAGCTGGGATCTGACTCTTGTGCTGTGTTTATGAAATTACAGAGATACCAAAAACTAAGCCAGCTTGCATAGTAAAGAGTGCTAGTTCTGACACTAGTAGATTGCTGAGGCAAAAATACTTCTGGAAAATGTTTAGAAATTGCTTTTCTCCTTTAAAATTGCAAGTAGGATTTCAGCAAGGCCTTGTGTATTGTCTTTTTAAAAAAAATGTCCACTGATAAAATCAACTTTAACTTTTGTGTCACTGTAGTCTTTTATATTGTTTTTAATTAAAATGTATTGAAATATTAATGGCTGGCTGAATTACCACTTGGCACAGACCTACTGAAGGAATTAATGGGGTGGGAGGGAGAGAGAACAGAGGAAGCCCGAACACCTAGCTCCTTCCTGCGGCTGCTTGCACTCTTACAGCAGCCCAGCTCTCGATTTCATATAAACTGATATAACCAACTCTCCCCTGCTGAATATATTTGCATTTTTTGTTCTTTAAACCAAACCAACATGTCACATGCAAAACAAAGGCAAATTCCCACAAATATTTTGAGTATCAAAGGATTTATTAAAGTAAAATAAGACCTTGTTTAGTTCAAGGTATGTGACTTTCGTCATTAAGGTATACATAGCAAATGGTGATTCTTAGGTAAGAATCTGCATACATGATGCCTGTAGCTCACATTAAATAAGTTAGATTTGTCTTATGCTGTACTACTTGTACTTTTTGTATCTAGAGCTATACTCTTGTTCCAAGAAAATTTCAATGCCTGTGCTTCCAAAATAAGACTTTCCAGAAAGCAATAAATGAAGCAAACAAGTAAGGAATATTTTGAATATTCCTGGTAGTATACTTAACTACCAGACTTCTGAATGATTTTCCTTTCTGGTTATGTTAATGCTCCAGTTAAGTCCACAAAATATATTGCCCTACATTTTTAAAAGTTCAGTGTTAAAGCAGAATAAAACAGTGTTTTTCCCAAATTCTTTAGACTTTAACTTGGGATGAACCTGCAGTCCCAGGTTTTACAGAGCACAGTAAGTGCCTGAAAGTGACTGGGATGGGGCTGAAGCAATGCTTAGCTTAGATCATGCTGTGGTACAATGTCAAGGAGCCCAGTGCATTAAAGCAGTTTTCCCTCAATGTCCAGGTGTGAGATTTGCTGTTGGCAGCAAGCCCCTTTTCTGTAGCTCCTCCCTGCTCTGGACTGTGAGGGCACATGTTAATTTCCTGATCTCAGGCTAACCAAAGCTGGATTTAGGACTGATGGTTTTATGTATTTCAAAGATTGAAGTCCAAACCAAAACTGAACAAATCAAGTGCTAAGGGCTGTGGAAGGACTTGTCATGATGGAATGGTAGGACACATCTCTGAGCGTACCTGAAAGAGGAGTGAGGCTCAGTACAGACCACCAGGACCTCAAGGATGTTTATCCTAAGTTTGTCTTTTTATGGAAACTGCAAAGGGAGGACATGCTGGCTGCTGACTAGAGTAGAACTTGTAGAACTTTTCCAGATCATTGTAATGTAAGAAAGCCCATTACTACAAATACTGAATTTGGAAGAAACTTGAGTTTTTCTCCTGCCTTGTACTATAGCTGAGGTCTGACTCCTGCATTCTGTTACGCAAGGGGAGCAAACCTGACTGCCAGGGCAGGTGATTTAAGGCTCAACAATGCATTAAGACAGGAAAATTAAAACCGAGTTGAAGCCTGTTACACTAGTAAACTCCTTTATGCCTTCAGGTCACTTTTGTTTAATTGCAGTTCTTGCTTCAACTCTGAAGATGACAAACTCTAGCTCTATGACTAGTTGCAGATTTCCACTAGCCATGTTGTCCCATGGAGTAAGCCAGGCTAATTGAAATGCCCCTAATTCTGGGCTTTTATTGCTTTATCTAAATCATCCACCACTTGCTGCAGCTTCTGTAGGCTGGGGTGGACGTTCTCCTCCATCCACTCCTCTACAGTACACTTGTGGAAAACTTGCTCCATGGCTGCTTGGAGGTCTTGCACCACAGCATTCCACTTGGAGAGGAGACTAAGCAGAAATTAGAAAGAAGAAACAATCACATTAGCAGCTGAGCTCTGCCTCAAGGGAGGGCTAGCTTACTGGGCCTTTTAAAGTGAGCACTGTCCTTAAAATGACTTGACAGGAAAAGCAGACTCTTGTTCCAAGAACTCAAAGGACTTGATTTTGTGCAGAGGGCAAAAGGTTGATGCTGTTTGTGTTTAAGAACAATTAGTCTTGGCATTTCTCTTATGCAGTGACTTTTAAAGTACAGAAATGTGAGCTCAAAAAATGACTGAACACCTTTTAAGTGTAACTGAAACCCACTGTGAGACTTGTTGGGAAGTTAATTCTGTTTTTTATCAGAAAAGTGGATGCAGTTGGATGTTCACCTTATCACAGCAAAAAAAAAAAAAAAAAAAAGTATAAATGAGGCATTTAGGATGAATCAGCATCATCTTTAGGACAAGTTCTGAAGGGCACCCCCAGGGACAGGGAGCACGGTTTTATTCCAAGCCCTGCCTGGACCCTGGCCCATGGTGGCTCCTAGTCTGGGCTAACAACTGCTGTACGACACAGCCCATCTGCACAGGAGGAACTGCATATGCAAGGGAGAGGTTTTTGGAGACCAATTGTGTCCTTGTATTCACAGACTGTTCAACAGCAGGCAAAGATAAACACGTTCTTCTGTTTAAAACCATCTTATGAATATTTCGTATTGTTTGATATCCATTGATGCTTCTGAAATAATTTTAGAAAGGGGCCAGGACTAAAAACTATATGTTGGGCACTTGACTGGTCAAAATACAACAGACTTTATTTCCCCTAGAATGCAAAATAAGTGGTGTTACCTTACTGCATCTGGCTGAAAGTGATGCATTATTATAGGATGAATAATCTTCCTTTTCCTGTGGTAGGGGCTGAACCAGCCTGTGACATATCTGAAAATGAACGTTAGCATGAGCAGTTTTGGAAACAGCAGTGATGTATGTGTTTGTAGGCTGACAGGCAGGGGATGGGGCTTTAACCAAACTTCTGCACAGAGATAATGCTTAAGGGGCAAGTGATTTTAAGTCTACATCTCTTTGGAACTAGCTTGTAAAAGACTGTTCCTGGCAGATCAGAATAACAGATCACCTGTTGCCATTTGATTTCAAGCCTTTTTTTTTTTTTTTCTTTTTTTTGGTAACTATTTTCATCCAAGTATTCCATTCTGCTGAGGTGCCAATACGTAGGGATGTGATGCCCGAGATATAGAGCTTGATGTTTAAATCCCTGTGCTGGAGTTATGCCCCATTTTGAGATCATACCAACCCCACACACCTGCAGACAGCCAGAGAACCAACACAAACCTTCTTACCTGTTCCTTTCAAGAAGTTCATCCACTGATGACTTGAGGTAGAAACTAACTTGCGTCACAAGTGTAAGAATGTTGCTCCCAGGAAAGGTCCCCAGACTCGTGCTGTCCAGAGAAGATCTGTGAGTTTCTGAGCTCACTACACAATGAGAAAGAGCTGAATCCCACAGCTGGAATTTTACCTCATGAAAGTTTCCATTTCCAGGTTGGACATTCCCAGGAGCTTTTCCACATTTTCTTTAACCTTTTCAGAATAACCACCTGGCAGTGGAAATACGTAAAAGGAATGTGAACAACCCAAATGTTCATCAAGAAGGTTTTTTTTGGAGTTCTCAGTATTGGCTTTGTAGTACTCCTTGGATGAAGATGTTTTAAAAGGTGAAATGTAAATAGAAGAAGGAAAAAAACCTGGGGGTGGGAGGAGTACATTGTCTTCCAGACAATTGTCTTGTGCTAGGTACAGCACTTCCTAGTTGTGAGCTTTCCATTCAGGGTGCTGAATATATTAGTGCCTTAGTTAAAACCAAGCAAGTTGTGGGGTTTTATTTTGAAAATTAGAAATGCAGAACGACAAAAATAAAATTCTATTGACAGCTGCCTGTAAAGAAACCAGAAACTACAGGAAGTATTTTACCAGACATTGTACTACCTAGATCGATTTTAAGAAAATTGATTAGTTAAAACAACTTTAACATGTAAAGAAGATCTAAATCTAAATTAAATTAGTACCATTTATATACCAGTAGTGTTTCAAAAGCAATCCAGCTTCTTAAATTTTTTTTAGTATATGCCTGAAGAAGCTTGTGACCATTTGTGGGTTAGGACACGAGTAGTATACTACGTCTATTTTTAAATACTTAGTCCAAAAGGCTTCTCTGTTCCTGTATCGCAAACATGCACGATGTATAAGTTATTGTTCATAATTCAGACCACAGTCAGATAGTCAAACCATCTCAAAATATAATAAGCCTGTGCCAACCTTAGGGCAAGGTCACTTCGCTCTTGTGCTAGGCATTAGCTGAGAGAGAATAAAGTTGCCATTGTACCATTCTTTAGTGCCTGCAGACATACGGCCAGTGATGGAATTGCCACAGGGAGAAGTTCACACAAAACAGAGAAATGATCGTACCTAAATAAGAAAACATTCATCAGTTAGACACCGGAGTGCCGGAACAGGGGGAAGTGTTAATGTTTCAATCACTACAAAACAAAGAGCTTTAGAAACATTAGTCTCTGTCTCAGAGAAGGGACCTTCTGCTCTCTGAAATGCTGAATATTCCTGTTTTACTATGAAGAACAGATACAAACCAACTTTCTCCAGCCAAGTTAGGGTCAGAAATTGGAATTCAGGTCTCTTGTATTCCCTTAGACATCCTGGCTGTTGCATAAAAACCCTTCACTCCTTCATGACACGAACATGTTCTCTCTTCAGCAACTTTGTTCTATCTGATTCATGTCGGACGTTCAGCTATTCACCGGGCATTGGGTTAACTATGCTGTCTGTAAGCACCTCAAGGTGCCACAAAATACAGTTCAAGCCTTCAAATCCAATCTGCTGTTGGTGGTGTCTGCCAAAAACCATCGCTCCAGCTGCCCGGAATTCTGGAATCCACCTATCCCAGCCCGTGGGTGAGTCCCAGCAGTAACAGGAAGGACTGGAGGGTCCCTTCTAAATCCCGAGCCTCCTCGTACCTCTGAGGGAGTTTTTGGGTGGAAGTTTGCTTCCACGTGATCCTTGGAAGCATTTAAAAGAATGTTCCTTACCTTTGCCAGCCGGTCAGCGCGATACCTTCAAGGACATCAGCAGGGCTATTCCTTGCCACTTCCAGCCACCGCAGGTGGTTTTTTAAGTGGTGGCCAATAAGTGTCAGAGACTGATTCACTCCCGTAGCTCCTTTAAAAGCGCTAGCAAACCACACCTTGGAGAAGCCACATCTACGATACTTCTCTATGAGATGCACTGAAATAAGACACAAAAGAACACTTACAGGACAAGTTTTCTCCATTTTCAGCCTTGGCTGTAATGCTCCAAGTAAGAGGAACCTGGGACAGTGACAACAGGCTGCTGAGCCTTGTCCCATCAAGTTGTGAGCATCAGCAAGGATGGGAGATTTGACATGCTCTCTGAGCAACCTGTTTGGGTGGCTGCCCTCCTGTTTTCATGTGCCCGGTTACTATATTCCTTTTTTTTTGAATTGCTGAATTCCTTCAGTGCTAAGAACCATGGGCACATAATGAGCACGTGCAACATCTGACAACTGATTCTTCTTTCAACAAATAAATATTTGTATGCGTGTTAGATGCCTGACTGGAGCCTTTAGGAATTTTGCCTTTGAATTCTATACATGTATGAAGCCTCGAAGCTGCTTTTGTAGAGCTGTTCAATACGGAGCTATCTGCTCCGACTGGTTTCAATGCACTGAGAGTTAATGTAACAGTGCTTGTGAAAAACCTCTCCATCTCCCATCAGTAGTTCCACACTGCTGCTGGAAAGAATTAAGCATCAGACAATGCAAGTCCTTCATAGAAGCATAAATAGAAAAAGAAAACAAATAGCAACCTTTATGTGAGATCAAACAAGGGCTGCGTTTATGCTATCAAAGCAATAAAAAGCAATTGAACAAAACCAGAATCTTTTGGTGTCCAACTAAGGTATGTTTTATTATACTGTTTTGTTTTGGCTCTTTTGCTTAACAGGTAACAGGGCTCTTTGCTCCTCCTAAGCAGCTCAGCAGAGAAGTACAAACCTTTGCCCTCCACATCGAGGTCTGCGGCATAGTCCCAGATCATTGGCTGCACAAGCTTTGGGACCCCGGACTCTGAAAGGAACAGAATTCTTCTAAGTAATGGAAAACAGACAGTTAAAAGGGAGAACTAAGTACATACCATCGGTACAGTAGCATGTGACTAGAACTAACTGTGGCTTGTCACTAGAATTCTTCATTTACAGCTGAAGTGTCCCTGGGCATTTTTGGCCTGGCCAGGACTTTGAACACACGGATTCACGGGCTGGGGGTCACTATGTCCTCAGATGTCTTGAAATCACTAATCTGGGTCAGCAGTGACAATTCATTGGAGAATTCAGCCCAAGCCCATCTCATTCTTAGTCCCCTGAATCTATCCATATGCCTGCTGGGCTTAGCTGGCAGAGCTGCAAACTGTATGCACAAGATTTCAGCCAAACTCAAAGGAAACGTTCACCCTTTAGGTTAGAGATTGTCTGAGCCGTGTTTGCACAGAACTGAGCTTTTCAAGATGCCTTTAAAGTACAAATAAAGATACAGGTTTAGCTTCAAATCCCTTTATAATCAACTCCCTGACTAGTTTTAAACATGAGAAACTGCAGTAAATTGTACAGAAATTCAGTAACTGCATCCCATTTTAATTTGTTTAGCCTGCACTTTAGAGTGCACTTTGCTAGATGCTGTGCTGCTCTAGTGGAAACCGCATGGGTCCGACCTGTTTTGGTTTTTTTTTGATGATTTCTGACTATTAAAGCCAGGAATAGGTCAGTCACTGCTGGAGGAGCTGCATAGCTCTTCAAGGTATTGTATAAATCTGTTTAGAGCAGACACATAAGGTGGCTCTGAAAATGCTGGAACTCTGTCTATGCTAGAATTACTTGAACTGTAGCAGTAGTTTCATATTTTTCAACAAACAAGACTCATGACATCAGAGTCTTGGAGCTATCCCACAGTTCAGTGTCAGAGCTCCTCATCATGCGCACTGGGATCACATATTCTGTCAAAGACGCTCACAGGGTGGCAGCTTCTCCATGTGAGGCTGCACCACGGGAACCAGATGCTGCCCAGAGCAGCAACTGACGTTAAAAGGTGGTGGAAGGCAGAGACATTTAGGCTGAGATCACAAATGCTAGCAAGCTTTTTTTAATATGTTAAGAAAGTAGAATTGATGGCAACCACCGCGTGCTGACTGTTTTGTTTGTCACTGTGTACCACGAGATGGAAAACTAAAGTCGGTGTGTTGAGACTTGCCCACAGTCATAGAGAATGTCTGTGACATAGCCAAGGACTAAATGTCTCTAGTCCAACAGATCATATCTCAACTATTCTCAGATTTCTTGTTTTTCGTTATTTTCATCTGACAACAAATCTGTTTTAACTGGTTGTGTAAACATTTTTGTATGCTACAAAAGATAAGTCACCCCATCGCTGGTCACACACCTGCCAATGTTTCCTCACTCATCCCTCTGAGCATGTCATCCCACACGATGGGCGTCACGGTGGGGTAACACGAGACCAGGCAGCTTGCAACTGCTTTTATGTGGGATAAGCACAGCTTCTCTGGAGTGTTGTCTGGTTGCTGCAGCCACCGCTTTGACTCCTCTCCTTCGCCGAGGTAGTAGACCTGAAACATCATACAAATAATCCTGACTTTGTGTGCAGGAAGAGGGGGAACGAGTTTGGCACAGCATCATAAAATCATAAAATATTCAAAACCTATCGCACAGATGTGACACACCGAGCAGACACATTTAAAAGCACCTCTCAGCGTTGAAGACACTGCAAGCATTTCTGTCAGCCTGCGGGAGACTGTGGCCCTGACTAAATGCATCACGTAGGGAAATTTTCCCATAGGAACTGAAATATCTAAACAATAATTAAGGGATGCTGTATTTGTCTTTGGAAGGTTTGTCCTTAGGAGTAGCTCTCACCAGCTTTTACCAGTTCAAGACATCTAGCAACCCTTATGGTCCTTGTCTTGGGGAGGGAGATCATGTGTACGTGAATCCAGAAGAGGATGGGGGCATGCCCAAGGGTGGCCCCCGCAGACCTGGTCATCCGCAGAGTGGATTTGGGCCGTTTACGCTGGATATCCATTTAAACTCTTTGGGGTTTTTGAGCAGGTTTTATCTAAAACACAGTTATTCTACATAATTAGTATTTTGGTGTATAAAAGCTTACACGTCCCCACCTAACCTTGCCATCCCTTTCCCCACAACAGGATTAAAAAAGCCAAACTAATCTCAGTAACTGAGGGGATGACAATGAATTTCAGGGATCTGTGTGCCGTGGGGGTGGTTTTAAGAAACCCCAAGGAAGGAGAAAACTCAAGGTTCTTCTCCTCAAGGAGACAAACTACCAAGAGAAAAAAATAATACTGCCCACCACAAAAGAGCTTACTTCGACTAAATTGGCCAGAACAATGAGCCAACATCCAAACTCCTGTGATTCTTAATGAACACCTCCAACTGATATCTCACTTTACATACTCATTTGACATATGACTAAATGCCAAGTTAGCTTTAAGAAACAGCTTTTAATACTTTGGGTATCACAGTCAGATCAATAGAAATTATATCCAGTGTTACTGGAATAATTTCTTGTCAAAAATATGTTTCTACACTGGCCCGAATGGGTATTTCTGTCACCCAGACATGGCCCGGGCACCACCGACATGCAGAAGCCTCAGCCTTTACCATCCTTCCTCACAAAAAAAATAAAATCCTGGCTCAAGAGAAGTCCCACCTCATCACAGCCGATGTGAAACCATTCCAGGTCTCCATGCAGCGCCATGACCTGGTCAATCATGGCTCTGACCAGCGCCCGCGACTCCTCCTTGTGCGGGTTGAGGGCGTTGGGAAAGCCCTTCACCTCCCGGAGCGAAGCGAACTCCTGGTGCTTCAGCACGAACTGCAAGAGAGCGAGAGCTTGGGGACAGCCACAGACTGGAGGGGACAGCCACAGCATGGAGGGGA